CAGGCTGCATCTACTGAAACCAATCTCAAAAAACCATTTAGGACATATTTTTACTTTGATGTCAAAATTATTATGGAAACAAATGATCTTGATCTTAAAATGACTCAAAATTATAATGATGTTTTATTCACTAATGAAGGTATTGCTATTAGTTAAGCTCAATAAATAAGAATATTAAACTATGATACATAAGGCAGGAAAGCTGTCTGCTTCCAGCTTTCAAGAATTCATGCTGGACAGGTGGGGCTGCTGGCCTGGTTCCTTGCCCATCTTGGAAAAAAGTCAAGCCTTATTCCAAAAATTCAAACTGCAAGCTCCTTCCAAGCCTGTCCCCCACCCCTGTTGAGAGCAATCAGTGCTTAACTTTCTTATCTACTTCCACTGAATTAAGGAGACTACGTGTGAAAGAGATCTAGGAGTCCTAGTAAACCACAAGTTGAACATGAATCAACAGTGTGGTGCAGCAGCTAAAAAGGCCAATGCAATTTTAGGTTGTATTAATAAAATGATAGCATCTAGATTAAGGGAAGTAATAGTGCCACTGTATTCCACTTTGGTCAGGCCCCACCTGGAATACTGTGTCCAGTTCTGGGCACCACAATTCAAAAAGGATGTTGAAAAACTGGAGTGTCTAGAGGAGGGCGACTAAAATGGTGAAGGGTCTGTAAATCATGCCCTACAAGGAACGACTTAGGGAACTGGGCATGTTTAGCCTGGAGAAGATATGGCTAAGAGGGGATATGATAGCCCTGTTTAAATATTGGAAGGGATGTCATATTGAGGAGGGTGCTAGCTTGTCTTCTGCTGCTCCAGAGAATAAGACTCAGAACAACGGATGCAAGCTATAGGAAAAGAGATTCCACCTCAACATTAGGAGAAAATTCCCGACAATGAGAGCTGTTCGACAGTGGAACACACTCCCTCCTTCTTTGGAGGTCTTTAAACAGAATCTGGATGGCCATCTGTTGGGGATGGTTTGATTTAGAGTTCCTGCATGGCAGGGGGTTGGACTGGATGGCCCTTGTTGTCTCTTCCAAATCTATGATTTTATGATTCTATGAAGTCTGGATAAACTATTTCAGACTGGCATACCACCATTGCAAGATATTGTGTAGCTTTCAGAGAGGTTCAGCAAACTATCTAGATTTGAAAAAGAGTGAATATCTATACTTAATTGGCCTTTGTCTTGTGTATGCAACCCATTGTTTCTCTACTGCCCAGACCACTTAAGAGTCATTATTAGTGCCTGAAGGGCATGTTCACCTTTGCAAGCATATATTTTTGGTTTTTGAATCTTCCACAGAACAACATTGAGGTTACGTTTTGCCCCACCCACAGGTGCTCCCTTCACTTTTAGGAGACAGCCCCAAAGTAAGGAAGATATTAAGTACAGAGACAAAAGGAGAGAATCTTTCTCTTAGACCTTTCCTGTCTTTTTGGAAATGCTTGTGATGCACTGATCTCCATTTAGCTTCTTCATGTCATGAGAATGAGAAAATCCGTGTGTGTGTTTTAGAATGTAGTCTCTTAAGCTTAGTTACACCACTTTAGCCCTCTTAGATTGGACAAGAATAGAGTTTTATTTCCATGCTGTACTCCCCCCCCTTATTTTTATTTTGAGAAACATCTTGCATTGATGTTTTGTTTGCTTCTACTGCTAACTTTTTCTGTCTTTAGTCGCCCTGTTTAATTATCCATTCTTAAAACCTTCAGCCTGTAAGGTCCTGTAGAACAGTGGTTCTCAGACTTTTTACTTGTGTCCCCCTTTACATCTACATGCAGACTTCATGCCCCCACTTCACATAGGACTTTATCACATGGAAGACAAGTGTCCTCCTCCTGTGAAAAAAAGCACATTTAATCCTGTCAATATCCTGCTAGAGCCAGTTGATTTTCAGATGAGGTCTCATGGGCCAGGAACTGCAGGACTGGGACCTGGAGGAAGAATCTGATGAAGCTGAGGAAGGAACCCAGGCAAATCTTCCAGCCTGCCAGCCCTGCTGAAGAGCTCCAGTTAGCTCATCATGTGGAATTGCAGCTTCAGCCAGCAGGACAAGGGCAAGACTTACCTGCTGATGAGACAGAGGACACATCTGGGGTCTTAAGTCCTCAATCAAGGAGGAGGAACATAAGATAGAGCTAAGGCACTCAGCTAGGCTACAGGCTAAGCAGCAAGCTCTGATTAGAACCAGCTGGTGTCAGGCTACTTAAGAGCTAAGTTTGCCTAAGGATTTGCTGGAAGTAGCTTGTCTGTTTTCTGGCCAGCATTCCTGTCCCTGATATCTGTTTCTTGGCTCCTGCATCCCTACTTCAGACCTCCTGGCTTCTTCCACCTTTGGACCATTTGACCTTGATTCCTTTTGCCTCCTTTGACTCAGACTGCTTGACCAATGCCTTTGTTTTGATGGAGTCTCACAGGCAAGGACAATTTCAAGCTGTTTGTAACTCACTGCCTCTGCCTGCATTATCAGTTGGTAGCTCCTTCCCAGTCAGCTGGCGTGTTTGGTGGACCAGGACACAACATTCCCCGATGTCACCATTATCGGGACATTATCCCATGAATAAAATTGCAAAATAGAACTGCTATTTATTTACAGGAAAATCCTGAAAATAAAAAGCGGCACAATTTTGCTGCTTTATTCATGGGATAATGTCCCAATAATGGTGACATCAGGGGACATTGTCTGAAAACCATCCTGCTCTGGCAGAATATTGACGAGGTTGAATGTGCTTTATTCACGGAATTGCCTCCCGTGTGATAAAGTCCATAGTATATGAATAAAATATTTTGTTTGTTTAGTGTGAATATTTTTATTAGCACATTAATTCATATTCATATTTTAACATTTTATAAGGAAATAACAGCATTTGAATTAGAAGTTTTATTTAAATAAATCGAGTACTTAACATGTGTAATATTTTATGCATATTTTCTATCACATAGACACACTCATATACACCAACACCCATAAATATGTACACTTTAATTATACTCTTTCACTCATTCTTTCTTTCACTCACACACATACTCATCTATTCTCTCTCACACACAGAAACTTTCATTCTCTTGTGTTCTCTTGCTCCTTCAAGCAAAGGCAGCTGCTCCTGGCATTCTCCTCACCTTTCTCTTCCTCTCCAAGACAGAAAAAAGTTGGAGGAGGAGGAGGAGGGATCAGGGCTTTCAAGTCTTGAGTACCTCTCAGCCCCTCCCTCCCTCCCTCCCTCCCTCCCTCCCAGGGTGCACCCCACAGTTTAAAAATGACTGCTGTAGAGAATTAGTGCTGTGAGGAGCTTTCCCAAAAAAACAAGTAAAACCATTGCACTGCTCTAAATAGTGTATCTACTGTGTGTCTTCAAGTCATTTCCAACTTATGCTGACCCTAAGGTGACCCTGTCATGGGGGTTTCTTGGCAAGATTTGTTCAAAGGAGGATTGTCATTGTCTTCCCATGAGGCTGAGAGAGTATGACTTCACCAAGATGACCCAGTGGGTTTTCATGGCTGAATGGGGATTTGAACCCTGGTCTCCAGAGTCATAGCCAAATGTGCAAAGCATTGCACCATGCTGGCTCTGTTGGCTCTCTTCTATGTCCTGCAGGCATGCAGCAACAAAACCAAAACTAAGCCCACTAGAGAAGTCAACTATCAGTGCTGTCTGAGATGCATGACCTCAATAGTAGATATTTGCAGCAGACTGTGGAAGCACAAACTCAAGTTTGTAGTATTTGACAATTTGCACTGACCAACACTGAATGATGCACAGACACAGTTGGATTCTTCCAAAGTCTTTGGAGGCTTTTATCACTTGTTGCAATATGTACAAATGATATACAACTCTTCTTTAATGCTCCAAAATTCACTGTCTGATATACAACAATCCACTCTCTACAAACAACCCACCAACCACAATTCTTCTCTCTTGAACCCACACCTGCCCTGGGTTTTAGAGCACTTATATACAGTGGTGATGATTAAAGATTGACACCTGGTGTTATCAGCTCACAGTTGTAAACCACTTAGACATCCCATGTGTGATATGAAGCAGTACATACATGAAACTGCTTTGCTTTTACTTATCATTTACAGTCATACAAACTATTTTACACTGTCTTAAAGGAACATTGTTCCAACTGGCTCTCAGTGTAAAGTTTACACAGGGCCTAAATAGTATTGTTAGTCATGGCTGAAATAGAGCCAATGAATCAATTGGACTTACCTATGTGTTGAATCAACAACTGATTCAATGGATCTACTCTAACTGGAACTGATAAACAGGGTTCCAGCCATGCAGATCAACATTCTTTATTCTTTATTTGTAGTATATACTCCACTCTTCAGCCAAAAGCCTCTCAGAGTGGCTTACAAATTGTTAATTAGACATTTCCCTCAGGCTTACAATCTAAAAAGACAAGACACAAAAGAAGGGAATGGCAATGGGGAAAGGGAATAAGTCCAGCAGATCTTCTTTCCCTCTGAGGCCTGGACCATGGCAGATGGACTGGAGGGAAAGCCCTTCTTCTTACTATGGCTAGGCCTGATAGAGCTGGCTTGCCTTTCTCTCCCTCTGAGGCTGGATTATGGTGGAGGGATTTTTATTATTTTTCTAGCTAAACCTGATGGATCTGGCCTGCTCTTCTCTTCTTCTGAGGCCAGATCTTTCTTTTCTTTGCACCACCACAAAGTCTCAGCACAAGGTGAAGGGTAGACTCCGTTGGGATGTTATAATCAGATAGAGTGCATCCATCTTCCAACTGTTTGCCAGCAAAAGTCAGATGCTGTTGATCAGGAGGAATTCCTTCCACATACTGGATCTTAGATTTGACATTTTCTATAGTATCAGATGGTTCAACCTCAAGGGTTATGATTTTCCCTATCAGGGTTTTCACAAAGATCTGCATGGCGATGAAGGAGTGGCAGCGCCACCCTCACCCGACACCACCTTCTGTAATGCCAGATGCAGGAAAGCATCTTTGATGGTGCATAACTATTCCTTAATGCTTTCAATGCACCATTTTTCCCCTTGGAACTGCAGACAGGCACATTGTAGGATACACTGTTGATAGCCCAATGGCTGGCATTATATTAGTGGCATGTGTAAGGCCTCATCTACACTGTAAAAATAAGGCAGTCTGACATCACTTGGGTGCTATGTAATTCAGAGAATGATAAATATCTTGAAAAATTATAAAATTGAACCATGGCAGTTAAAGTGGTGTCAAACTACATTATTTCTGCAGTACAGATGCATCTTAAGTCATCCTTATACCTGGATATGTCTCATTTTGGTTGATAAGGAGGTTTGTATATCCTTTCTCCATCTGCACTGAACAAAACACCTCCAAACCTGTTATAGAGTCACTGCAACCCCCTGGTAAAAGTTGTGGCAAATCAGAGAAGCTTCTGGCTATGTCCTTATGTCCAGACATGAAATAATGTCATCCATGCAATCTTTGAAGGACTCCAGTATAACTCAAAGGACGATCACTTCATATCTGGTTACTGGAACATAGCCAGATGCTTCTCCAATTCCTCACTGCTCTCATCAAACATGGAATGGCCATGGCAGGGGGATTTGCAGCAACACTGTGGTAGCTGCAGGTGTCGGTGAATGGTCAGTTGTTTTTTGTTTATATTTTATTTTAAATTTATTACAATATCACATATAAAATATATAAAACATGTAAAACAAACATAACAATTGACAACATATCTCACATACTAACACATCACTTCATCTTATGTCCAAATGTAATGATGTAGCTTTATAACTAACTTCCAAAACACATTATAGCCTTCTTCTTTAACCTAAACTTCAGCATTTCCTCTGTTTTTTACTTATCATATATGTAGGTCCCTAAGCTACTAATTTTTAAAAGAAAAGGATAACACTTCATAAACTTATCTATTATCTAATTAATCCTCCACTAAATAATGATTCAGCACTTATGCAACTCTCAAACTTTGTCTTCATTTATTATGTTCCATTCATTTCCTTTTCCTTGTATTATTCCTGATTCTCCTAGTTCTTATCTTCTTTCACTTTCTAATCCAATATAGCCAAGCTGAATTCCTTAGTGTTTCTTATTTTCATCTCTGTTTTTCTTTTATTATTCTGGTCTTATTTTTTTTGGGGGGGGGGGTTATTGTTATTATTATTCAACAACTGGCATCAACAGAGTAATCAAAGAGACTAGCAAAGAAAATATACACCATAGCGTGTCCCTTAATAAATTACAATAGAATTTTGTTTTTAAAACATTACTCTCTCTAATAATTAAAAACTAGATCCACCATTGTAAAAATAAAGAATCTTACTTTATGGTGTTTGGCATTTGTCTTAACGGTTTACTCTGTTTACTACAACTCATCTAAACTGATTGAGAGTGATTTCTAGATGACTCCCCTTGGATTTAGTAGCTTGAAATAAAGTGAGGAGAGTACATTGAAAGACACGTCTTTGGAGAGACAACATCTATATATATATATATATATATATATATATATATATATATATATATACAAAAATCACATTCACCCTAAACTACAATTGTATTCCGCTCTCCCCTTCTCCCTTCTATTTTCCAAGTTACACACAGTCCATTTCCACTCCTATCTCTTTCTTTTAAAAAAAGAAAGAAAGAAAAATGCAGATACTTATTTAGAGAGTATTTAGGGAATATTAATTTTACGAATAGTTGCAATCAATACTCAATCCCAAAGTTTCTCTAATTTTTCCCACTTCTCATGGTATTTTTGCTCTGTTTTGCCTTTGATCATCATTGTCAGCTTGTCCATATTCATTAAATCGACTAATTTTATTTGCCATTATTCTGGTCTTATTCATATGTACATTTTTCCCACATTTTTATAACATTTTTCCATTCTTCCTCTATTTTTCCCTTTGATTTCCCTTTTAACCTAGCTGCCAACATGTCCATATCCATTGCTTCCCTTAATTTTAGAATCTGTTCTTCCATTGTTGGTGTATTATTTTTCCTCCAATATTTGGCAAATAACATCCTTGCAATTGTCACCATGTATAAGATAATCCATATGTATTTCTTCTCTTTTAATCCATATGTCATGTTCAGGAGGAAGAGTTAAAGGGTATTTCAATTTGCAATATTTCTGTCATCTTTTTATATATCATTTTCCAATATGTTTTTGTTTTTTCACATTTCCACCATGCATGAAAGAGTGTTCTGTGGGGGGTCTTGACATTTCCAACAATTAGATTTTCCAGTTTTATATATAGCATTAAGTTTAACACGTGACAGGTACCACCGGTACATCATCTTTATAAAATTTTCTTTATAATTTTGACACAAAATGAATTTATTTGTTATCTTCCAAGTTGTTTCCCAATAATCTAATTTAATGTTTTCCTCAATGTCTTGCAACCATTTGATCATTGTATGTTTGACCATTTCCTGTTCCAACTCTTTCTTTTAAGATTTTATAATATTTTCAAATGTACCCTCTTTGTTCATTCATCACTATCTTGTCTTCATCTGTGATTCCAAAGTTCTTCATGTCCAACTTAAATCTTTCCATAAGTTGCATATATAAGAACCATTTATTATTTATATTCTCTTTTTCTAATTGTTCTTTTGGTTTCATTCTAAAGTTCTTTTCCTTATATTTTATCAATAGATTTTTATATCAGATCCATAGTTGCTTTTCTCTACTCCTACAGAAGAATGCTTCTTGTGTAGAAACCCACATTGGCAAACCTCTATAAAATATTTCTCTGATCTTAAGCCAAACTTTCAATAGTGATCTTCTAATAATATCATAGTCAAAATCTCTATTATCTTTTAATTTATTGTACCACATAAAGCCATGCCATCCATACCTAATATCTCTTTCCAAATGTAGTGTTCTTTCATCCTTTAACTTTATCCATTCTTCTATCCAATCCAAAGCACAGGCTTGGTAGTACAATCTGATATTCAGTAATGCACATCCACCTCTTTCTTTTACATATGTTAAAACTTTCCATCTTATTCTTGCCTTTTTTCCTTCCCGTAGAAATTTTGATAACACTTTCTGCCATGTATCAAAACATTTTTCATCAGAAATAATAGGTAAATTTTGGAACAAAAACATTAACTTTGGCAAAATATTCATTTTTATGACTGAAATTCTTCCCAGAAAAGAAATGTGGTATCTTGTCTATCTTAGCATATCTATCTTTATTCCTTTCCCTAGTTTCTCATAGTTGTTTTGAAATAAATTTAAATTCCTTTTCGCCAGATATATACCCAAATATCTTACTTTTTTTCTATCTTGAATTTAGATAATTTCTCTAATTTCTTCTCTTCTCCTTTTTGCATAGTCTTAGTTATAATCAATGTTTTCCCACGATAAATTTTAAATCCTGCTACCTTGCCATATTCATGAAATATCTGAATTAGTTTCTCTATACTTTGTGTAAGATCTCCTAGAAAACATACTAAGTCATCTGCATATGTTTTTTGTGGGTTTTTTTGGGCTGTGTGGCCATGTTCTGAAAGAGTTTCTTTCTGACGTTTCGCCAGCATCTGTGGCTAGCATCTTCAGAGAAAAAA